TCCATATAATTTAATAGAGGTCCTATACCCGACTCTCGTATCACATCTCACGTCTTGATTGTTGCTAGCTGTTACCAGTGTGTACCCAAAAGTTTTTCATCTTGTCCGCTATGCCAACGTATATTCCGTGCATGGATCGGCCTCGTCAGACATCATTCAAACCCATGCATACTCCTTCCGCCTAAGAATACGTCTTCACCAACACCACCACTGGCGAAAAATCCAACGTCTCTGCCGCAACCTCCAACAGCACCAGTGGTCCATATCAAAAGCTACAAAGGTCAACACGATCTCCCCCTCCCCCACCACTGGTGGGAACACTTTCGATTTCCGACATCCACACCACACCCACCACAACTTCCACGTCCTCCAACAGCAAGGCAAGCTTGATACCAACTTTTCCTCATTGCGATCGAACCTTAAACTAGAGCCTTGTCCTCATCGACCGCCTTCAAATCCATCACACATCGACTGGTGTACTATTAAGAGGGAGCTTATCTTAGCCCTACCGCACCCGCCTAAAAGGCATACACTGAAAACGAGTCTACTCGCATATGCACCCCCATGAAAATCTACGGTAAAACACTATCGTTTAAACCCCATAAACACGCCCTCCCACACCAGTCCATATACGGTACCCAAACCTACCCACATCGTTCAATACATTCACAGAAATTGCGTCTCCCATGTTCATGCAAAGCATGTACTTTGATTCAACCTGGGGCCAGATCAGGTCGTGTTTGGCACACAGATGTACTCCCGCTCCTCTATCATACAATGCGCCCCATCTCAGCAACAGCTGAGTGAGACGTTTGGACGGCGGCATGTGCCTGCTTGAGTGAGAATAGAATGGGCTAGGATTTGAGAACATTAGAGCATTTCCTTACTAAAAATAATCCGACACACTTTAACACTATCGTGACGCGTTAAGAGCAGTGGCTCGGAGGGCTACCAAATGACGGGATAATTGAGTATTGGAGGGACGGAGAGCCAGTGTGGCAAAGCTCCCCGTTAGTGGAAACTCTATAGCACTCTCATTTAGTTAAGATCCGAGCAGCCCTATTTGATGAATGAATTTCGGATCAAGGTGTTCGCTCAATGCATGTATGGCACGCGCAGGTGGGCTGCTTAGCTTTGTCAGTCATTGCAACCAATCTCACCTCTCGTTTTGCTGATTCTAACGCGTGTTGTATAAGTATAAACTAGTTCACGCGCAAATAATTGTAACTACGACCACCGTACTGCGGGGTCCAGTATAGGCATAGTCTTTCGAGCTATCAAATTACCATTTACCACACATATGCACAGAGAGGACAAGAACTTGTGATGTCCTTGAGCTCTCCATCGATTAATCAAGCTCACCGGTGTTTTGGTTTTCATCTAAATGCGTCCGGTTGCCCGGCTGAACTATCCAGCTCTACCGTAAAAGGCGCCGACATGTAAAGACGCAAGAACGACCTGACAAGTTTAATGGTTCGTAGCTGCGATTGCAAGGAATGGAGGCTTCGCGAAAAATTCCTTAAGCTGAGGCCTCAGGTCTGTGGATTCTTACCATAAGGGCAGCCGTATTCGACAAAATATCGGACTGACGGCCAACTATTCACCATTTGACACACGCTAGTATCTCCGAGGGAGTATCGCGTCAGTGTCCACGGCCTCCTATTCACGAATAATTGCGCACTAAATGCTACTTCAAACTTCGCAAATGACCTTGTCTACCGTACGTTTCACACCATGGTGGGCGCAGAGGCGGTGCTTGGCATGCGAGCCAGTTTATAATTAAACAGACTGGCACAGAATCCACCGCACTGTACCATTCCCCACGCCTCTTTTCGCAATGGCAAGGCAATATCAGTTCGACCGGAGATGGTCTCCAGCACTGTGCCTAATACATCTACACATTTCAGCTAAGTGTTCCACACATACGACCGGATCCTCGTAACATGAACCAGGCTGCTGTTAGGGCGATTCGGATCTGACATGCGCATCAGAAAAGCCACATTGAGGTTGCATTGCGGCTCGAATCTCAGTCATGTGGGAGAACAAGTTATCCAGGTCAGTTAGCGACTTTCCATTCCAGGACCATTAAAGTGTCATGAGAGGTCCAGACGTGTCCCGTTCACCCGTGAGGTATACGCTGTTGTGCCGTGGGAATGGAACCCTCCGATATCGAAATCAGCCACTTATTCTTTCCCATCTCCATGTACCAGTCCACTGTCCGAGCCTGCTGACCAAAAAATACTGTGGTCGGTCGCAGTTGAAGACCTCTGCATGGAGGTGAAATGGTAGTTATCAGCTCGCACGAATTGAGCGCTACCTGGTAAACAAGTACTGTGAGCTAATCTGATTCCCGTCTTGGTCCAGCACAGCCGGGGCCCCAGACACACAGTAATTGTCCGATATCTAAAATATTTTTTGGTTTTATTGGAAGCACTAACTAGCAGCAGTCCACTCGAATAAATGTGGTCAAGAGAGTTTACCGAGAGAGGTAAATGTGTGGGAGTGATCAGGCGTTATAAAGATACTTCTGGCCTCGACAGAATTCCAACAGAGGATTCCGGCAAAATGGCTGTCCCAGTTACCTTAAAGTACTGCTAAGGCAGCGTTCAAAAGCCAACTGCAACCGCAGATGTAAAAATTATGCACTATTTGTCTGGTTATCATCTCTGTGTCTGATATAACTACACCCACGACGATGACTTTATTGGTCTACCCACACTACCCCACGAACAACTAGGTCCGAGAATTCATTAGGCAACCGCCTCAGCCAAGACTAAAAATGTAAATTTTTAGAAGCAGAAAAATGCCAGGCATTTTATTATACACAGTGACAGCAAATAATATAGTTAATTCAATTACACATTAATGTGGTATAAATAGTTACAAAATGGAGATTCTGGGTTCCTCTGACGGACACCTATGCCGCAAACTGATTTTCCTTCTCCTCTTCGGAGACGGCTCTCGGTTGTTGTTCCATCTGTAAACGATGAAAGAGACAAATGTACAGACAAATAGCACACTGATTCAAAAAAGTCCAGATGACCAGTAGGAGTAAGACCGGCGTCGCAGCCAGCCGCAAGGCGGAGGGGAGTGGTCACTACCGCGGACACCTGTGCAGTCCACTGTGGTTCGCTGTTTGGGTCCAATCACATATCTCTCGAAAATGCGGACCTGAACTCTCTAGCCTTGGTTACCTTACCTGGAAATCGCATTTTCACTAGTGTCGGAATAAACATATAGTCTAGAAGTGACCCATAAACTGACATGCAGGGCATACGCAAAAATTATTTCAAGGTAGACTCGAAGGTGGGCTTTGCTCGGCATATTACTGGCTTATACATAGGTTAGAGGATAGAGTGCGAGTAATTTTTGCATTATTTTACCATGCCTAGGGCTAACCTGTCAGGTGTTTATGATGACAGAATGAATCAAAGGGGATGGAGACATCTCCAAAAAAATTAGACATTAGTTAGGGGGTTTTGACAAATTTGAATGATTCAGTTAACCCACCTGCGAAAAATGTGGAGGCCTTGATGGAATTTGAAATCACGCCAGCAAAACTTTAGTACATTCAATGCGAGAAGTGGTCAAATGAATTATTTAAAGCTTCCAAACTCCCCTACTAATTAATTGCGTCCGGTAGTAATCTGGGGGATTCTAGATTGATTGCTAAGGAAATTCTGCCTGAGCTGCCAGTGTACTCTATCATAATTGATGGATTCTACAAGCTGCAGTAGGCTGAGAGGGGCAAACCGACCCCAGGTGTGATTTAACTCACGGCTCCCGATGAGAGCCTCGTAGTTCAGTTGGCTAGAGCTTTGGTTGTACTAAAGCCTTTTCCTGGATGGCGTGGGCTCGAATCTCACCGAGGCCACCGAATTGTTCACAAGCGGGTCAAATTAAACCGAACTTTGTGCGCACGATG